GTGGGGAGTGCAGTGATGGCCTGTGAGCCGCCAGGGCCATCTTGGGACAGCAGAAATGCGCGCGAAGCCGGGTCAAGGTCAGAAAGGAGACTTTCGCACGCCGCTGCATCCAAGCATGACGTGGCGGCCCTCTGCCATCCTCGCAGAAGGTATCCGAAGTCACGTACCGCCGGCTTTCCAGGGTGAGAAGTTTCAACCAGTTGCCGCCAAGGCGGGGCGTCAAAGCCAGCTCGACGCTCGTCTCCGAGCCAAGGGCGGCGGCCGCCGGGCAGGAGACAACCTTCTTGCTGTAGGTGGGAGAGGATGTGTCATCCGAATGAGATCCTGAAGACCTCGTTCTCAAATCACTGCTTATCCTCAATCTTGCAATGTGCGATGTCGCTGTTTCGCTGCTGCTTAGCGCCGGGCGAAGCTCGTGGAGCATGCGTGCGTTTGTCGCCCGCGAAGCGGTCCTACAGAGCACACTACTGCACCGGCAATGGCGCCGGATGATCATCGTCGTCTCGACATAGTCTTCTACGGCGTCCCGCTCGGTGGCACTGCCAACGTTGATGGGGACCCCGCTCCTCAGCGAGGTCCTCGTCGACTCCACCATCCCTCCCCCCATTGCCAGCCGCCTCCCGTGAAGGCTTGCGAGCCTTGCCGTTGCGCTGCACTGGGACCGCCTTGACCAGCAGAAAAAGGTGCGAGGGGGAGAAAAAAAAAAAAAAGAAAAACGGCGTCACCTCCTCGAGCTATGCGTGTGCTGCGGCGCGACGCTGGTTTTTCCCGGACCCGTGACGGACAGCGGCTTTTGCGGCGCACTGCATCGAAACATTCCAGCTTGGAGGTACCGACATGGCGTGCCTCCGACACGCGGGGGATGCCCGCACGTTGCTCCTCACGGAAGGTTGGGAGGCGTGCCCCACATGGCAGGATGTGGCAGGAAACCAACGACGGACCCAACCGCGGAACCCCAGCTGGGCGATTGGCCGCACGGATGGCAACATGCATCGCGCGCCGATGCGGCCGCGCGGCGCACTGTTGGCGGCGCGCGGTATGCGCGGATGCGGACCATGTCGCGCATGAATCGCAGGGCCATTCCAGCGCACGCCAGGTGGACGAAGACACAGCACTGGCCCCACGCTTTAGGCGTGTGGCACATTGGCACATTGTCCTGCTGCCACTCCGCAATGCGAAGAGCAGGCCAACCAGTATTGTTCCGGCAATTCAACCAGCTAGAAGCACTAGCTGCTGATAATGCCAACATTGAAGAAGCTGTGAGCAAACCATAACGAAAAGCGAAACACCCATTGTCAACAAATTGGCGCGCGAATCACCACTCCAGAAGAAAGCGGTACGGAAGAGAGGCTCTTTTACCGTCCGAACAGCCCATCTTCCACGAAGAAGGCGAGGGCTTTCTTGCCTGGGAGGGGCATGACCTTTTTCCTGCGTGAACCACAAGGCAAATAAATCTGACACCAATTCCATGTAAAGTCTGCAGCATGCCAAGGGGGCTACGACCCCTGCACTGAGTGCCACTGCCAGAATGGCGTGAGCTGTACTGTAACCAAAAGTCAGTGGGACTCCGGCGGCGCTTCTCCATATGCACATATGAAAATATATGAGAATCACTTCGGAAAGCCACCTGTTGAGGAGCAAGTGCCTACCAAACATGGGGCCGGGAATCGGCACCCCAGACCAACAACATGGCGGCTTGCTGCAGCTTGCCTACAACCGTGAAGACCTAGAGGCGGAGGAAGAGCCGTCATGACTCCCGGACAGGGCCATGATGCGGCAAAGGCTCGCCACCCCTGTGCGTACCTACAGCTAGACTATAGCGGATCTTGCAATGAGTCCGAAGCTTGTTAACTTTACTTCAACCACCCAGACTTGGCCCACAACAAACCAAGGCTCTGCGATCTCGTTCGGAAAACTTTTAGATTGTGTTTCGAATTTCGTTCGGAGTCAATCATCGGCTTCCCTTTCACTCTCTCACTTTCTCACTCTCTTGTCCAGAAGAAAGCGGTACGGGAGAGAGGCTCTTTTACCGTCCGAGCAACCCATCTTCCACGTTCCATGCATCGAAAAAGAAGGCGAGGGCTTTCTTGCCTGGGAGGGGCATGACCATTTTCCAGTGTGAACCACAAGGCAAATAAATCTGACACCAGTTCCATGTAAAAGTCTGCAGCATGCCAAGGGGGCTACGACCCCTGCACTGAGTGCCACTGCCAGAATGGCGTGAGCTGTACTGTAACCAAAAGTCAGTGGGACTCCGGCGGCGCTTCTCCATATGCACATATGAAAATATATGAGAATCACTTCGGAAAGCCACCTGTTGAGGAGCAAGTGCCTACCAAACATGGGGCCGGGAATCGGCACCCCAAACCAACCACATGGCGGCTTGCTGCAGCTTGCCTACAACCGTGAAGACCTAGAGGTGGAGGCATCCACTGGCTTCCCCACCACGCTTGACAGTTGATGGGCATGTGTGTCGGAGTCTCCGGACGTTGTGGAACCATCCGGAACACTATCCGGAACCCTCACGCCAGCCGTCTGAGAACCTTGCAGTTGTGATGCTGCTGAGAAAGTTCTGACGACCCCCGGGCTTGGGACCGGGAAGAGCAACAACAACTTTAAAAGCGGGTGTAGCTATCATCAGGAATAGAAGCAGATGCCATCATCATGTCATGCATGGCGCCCGAGAAAGGGCAGACTGCCAAGAAATCCTGCAGAAAGATCTGCCAAACGTTCACTGCTGAGAACCAAGAGCTGGTAATGCCAGAGCAACGCAGCAAAGCTAACATGATGCGGCAAAGGCTCTCCACCACTGTGCGTACCTACAGCTAGACTATAGCGGATCTTGCAATGAGTCCGAAGCTGGTTAACTTTACTTCAACCATCCAGACTTGGCCCACAACAAACCAAGGCTCTGCGATCTCGTTCGGAAAACTTTTAGATTGCGTTTTGAATCTCGTTCGGAGTCAATCATCGGCCTTCAACAAAGTCCTCCACCGGGACTCGAACGCGGGTCGCTCGGGTTAGGGCCGAGTATCCTAACCAGCAAGACTTTAGCGGATCTTGCAATGAGTCCGTTTGCCAGCCCAACCAAACACGAGTAGCTGACAGAGCTCTCACCCTCTCACTCTCTCACTTTCCCCCGACTCTGAACGAGATTCAAAAAAACACCATGTAAAAGTACTCCGAACGATTCCGAACGTGATCGCAGAGCCATGGTTGGATTGCAAGATCCGCTACAGTCTAGCTCGTTAGGATACTCGGCCCTCACCCGAGCGACCCGGGTTCGAGTCCCGGTGGCGGAATTTGTTGAAGGCCGAGCCGGCTGCCATTGCGGGCGTAGCGATAGCCCGCGTAGTTTAAGAACAACTTGGCCGACCGAACGGATCAGCAGGTGTAAAAGACCGAGAAAAAAACTCGTCACCTCCTCGAGCTGTACGCTGTGCTGCGACGCGACGCTGGTTCCCCCGGTCCAGGAACGGACGCTGCAAGCCGGCCACGAACACCCGGAGTTGCAACAGGCCGGTCCGCAACGCCTCGTGGTCCTCGGTGCCGAAGTCGGGGGGCGCTGGAGCGCAAGCGCCGTGAACCTGGTGCGGCACGCAGGCTGCGGGCCCCGCCGGCCTTGCGCAACGCGGCGGCCGCGGCGTGGGCTCGCCGGTGGTGGGCGCGCATGTCCGTGGCAGTGCAGCGAGCCATGGCGACATGGCGCTATCGGCAGCAAGGCGAGCTTGGCCGTTAATTAGCGGTTAGCGATGCGGGCGGCGACACAAGACCACCCTCCACATTGGCAGGTGCAAGAAAGGCGCGAGAGAAAATTAACAGTCTGCTTTTCACACTGACCGTGACCCACTTTCGTTTCCGGACCATCGCTCGTTCTCATATCATAGTCAGTCGCAACGCTTGTTTTGCCATTGCCGTACAAGTAGTCCCGCAAGCACAAGGTGTCGGTGCAGTCCAAAGAAACATGCCACCCAAAAGATTGTTGATTCCGCTCCGTGGCCGTTTTGCAGCTGAGATGGCGTAGGCGAAATGATTGGTGCGCTGGCGGCGCGCACATCCTCACGAGAGGCCCCATTGCGCAGGCAAGCCCGGGGGCTTTCCATTGAAGATGTGAAATGATCTCCACATAACTCACGCAGTCATGCTCAGTCGTTACATTACATTGCAAAGCTGATGGTTGGCCCAAAATGTTTACCTACGCGAGCTGCTGTCCAATGCTTCCCAAACTATGTGAGTTGGGTTGATGCTGCATGTGATGTTGAGCGATGGAAGCTCGAAAAAGCTGAGTACATAGACAGAAATGTACATACCTGTAGTTCGCGAACGCTTTCCCAGCAACCTGTCCCATGTCCCTATAGGACCGTAGCTTGAATCGGCAACCAACGCAACTTTTTGTTTGGTTGCAGGGCGCATGAGGACGCCAACACGCTGCTCGGACTTGACTAGTAATTGTGCTGGCCTGATCTGGACTGTTGAAACGGAACAAGACCTCATTCCAAAGTCAGAGAGCGAAAGCTACATTGCACAGCGTTTTGCATGCGTCGTAAGCAGCAAGGCTAAAGTGTAATTATCAGGCTTGAATGCGAGATCAATGTTTTTTCCCACCACTTCCCATGTCCTTTGCATAGAAGTCTCGGGCAGCATGCGAAGGGGCAGGCTTAGTTTGACAGTGTCAGTATCACTTAACGTGACATAATTGCGCGACGGTTTTGCGTGTGCTGAGGTCCATGGTCGAGCCTTGCTTGCAAGACTCCTTTGTCGGCTTCGTGTGAAGGGTATCTTTTTTTGAGAGGTTCGCAGAAGGGGGGTGTATGCCGCATGTCTTGAGACGCCCCACCTCACCTTCATATCCTTCATTCTCCCTGTGTCAATGCGTTAGGCTACTGAAAACACTTGGCCGCGGCCGCAGTAGCAGTGCCTAACTGTGAGCCCGAAAGTTCAAGATGGCAGCCCGTAGGCCAAACAGAAACATGGCAAAACAAATTGCGGAGGGCGTTGCAATGCCCGAGAACACGGAAACGTCAGCCACTTGGTTCAAATGTCATGGGGGCTTCGGGAAGGTTTGTTTCTCACAGGCAGGACAGCTTGGGCTTGTTGGTTTCGTCGCAGACTGTACGCGACTCAAGACTTGCGCTCAATGCAAACGATGCAATAGGCGTATGGCAGGCACCCTAGAAAGACCGCCAATGTCCGACAACGCTCCCATCATGGTTGTAGTTGTCTGATGTGAAGCGGGTCCCGGCGGGCCACACGCACAACCTACGCCATTAAGTTTGACCATCGTTTCCTTGCAAGCCCAACCGCCATAATTAGACCCTTGAATCCTTTAGGCCCCGGGGTCCCACCATAATATTGCTGAGCCACTTACACAACAACAAGCAAAAATCTGCCCTTCAGGCATCCGGCTTATTGGCCTCTGAGCCTCCAGGTGCAGCCGTGCACCTTGAGGGTTGGGAGGTGAAAGCTTCAAAACAGTCACCACCACCGTCGGAACCCAATCGTTGATGGGGTATGTAGCCATAGTGGCGGCCCGGAGTTGATGTCCTCCCAGAAGGTGAGATGCCGAGCATCACGAAAACCTATGTGGGTGGGTATTGTTGGTGGGCATTCCGAATTCCTTACTGAAGGATTTCATTCGGTGGGACAGCAGAAGTTGTGAACGTTGATTGGGAGGGTTTCCTTGGTGGGGCTCGGTTCATTTGAGGTAGCGATCCGCCAGGCGCCTTCGGTATTCCGGAACACTTCTGGGGGTCGTTTGGGGCAATCTGGCAGAACCGGCGCTGCATGGATCATCCCATGGATCATCGTGGTGCGCCTTGAAGCTTCAGTCATAGCACCAAACTTGCTTAGAAATGTTCGTGCCGGCTGTGTTTCTCAGCTGGTTGGGGGTTGATCATCTCTGCAGCTAAAGTGGGCCCACCAATTTGCGAAGGAAAAGTCGTGCTCAGTTTCCAAAGAAAATCCTGAACCACCCCCCTGCTCGAAGGCTACACGGCGGTGCCCAACCGCGACAGGAGAGTGAGCTCCGCCGCTCGCATGCAACCTCCAAAGTAGGTGTGGAATGCTGAGTCGCTTTGCGTCACGGTTCTCACAGCCGGATCATACGTCATACGTCAGAACCTGTATACTCAGAGCACGGTTTGTTCTTAATTACCGTATGTTTTCTTGTTCCTTTCCCGTTGCCACTCTGCGCTGGGTTCCACTGCAAGGGCGGCAGCGAGGGATATGCGAATCTGCGCCCCACGCCTGCACTGACTGCCGTGGATTGCTTTCGAGTCAGCTGTGCTTAGGAACGTGATGTGCATGGCATTCTGCATATTTGAGGGGTATTTTCGCAGTCCTTGGTGCAGGATTCGGCAACTCTGCATCGGCAATCCAAAGTCCCTGTTGAGACCAGCCGGCTTCCGATATTTGCAGCACGCTACAACCCAAGCACCATGCGAAAGAGCACTCGCAACAGCAATCAGGACAGCTTCTGCCTCGCAAAACCGAGAGCGCAAGCTTTAACCAGTTACACCTTGAATTCGGGGCGAAGTTTCTGGCGGGGAGGCAGAGGGTCTGCGATTGTGGTTGCCTGTCGAGGCTTAAAACATCCTGGAGTCCACAAACAACTTTGTAATCTTAGGCTGCGGATCCAGACCCCTGTGGCCCAGTGCGCATACTCAGGTCCTCGCGACACCATTCGATCTGTTAATTCGGAGAGAATGGGCATCTCACTGGAAGAGACACTCAGCTAAACTGGCCCAGTGGCAAACACAGTCGTAAGCCACGCCTAGATACGTGCCGAATGATTGCTGGACTGCTAGGGCCAGGTTTTACGAGCCAAGGAGAAGGACATTGTTTTAGGAGTTTTGGGATTTTGATGTGTGCTCGGTGTGGTTGGAGGTTTCACTTCTGTGGAGCTTCTTCGCAACTTCTCGAATGCTGTATACTCACAAGTCCGCAACTTCCAGCGTTATCCCTTCCAATGCATTGCCCCTTCCAAGATTACGCCTGCCATGAAGCTATTCTTGTACTCGTAGGAACTTAGCGCTTAGCAGCCAATTTCAGGAACATGAGCCAGCCTAAAAGCGTCCACTACAACCAGTGCCTGGGCACTGCCCCCGGCTGTCTATCGTAGTGGAAGGTATCGGCAAAAGATGGCCAGTGCCAAACTTGTGGGAGCCCTGATCTTCATGGAGATGGGCAGAGTCTGCATCGACGCTCGGAACTTGTTCAACAAGATTTGCGGCTGGGGTCCGGGGTTCAGGTGCTAGGCCGTTATGGAAAGACCTTACTGCAGGGGCTTCGTTATGTTCACATGCAAGTTCGTGTTCTGGCAGGGTTTCGGCGTGAGTTCTGCTCGATCTCTGCAAATGCAAGGTCTTCGAAAGATTTTGGTTGTTGGTTTGCATCAGGTCTTTTCTCCTTACACAGGCAGGCTTGCGAGCTGTGTCGGAAACCTTTGGAACCTTGCAACCTTCCCATGTCTTGGATTCTTCCTGGAATTTCCTCAACCCACGCAATCCCATGCCTAAGGAGCCAAGCTCTGTGTACCTTGCCGAGCTTGTTTGGGAATTTGGGTTTTGACAGTGGCTGTGTTCAGGCTTCGGCAAGGGCTTGGGGTTTTGCTTCAATCAGTTAAATGAGGGGCAGTTCTATACCTGTGGAAGAACTTTCCGCACCTCACAGCTGCAGTGATGGACTTCGGCAAATCTGTGGCTTCAGGTGTTCAGGTTTTAGCTCGCGAGGCTGCTTCGCGTGTGTTTCGCGAATGCATAGCAGAAGGGTTCTCGTTTTGAGGTTGGGGGTCTGGGGGTCAGGGAGTTGACGCGAAATCCGTGCGCAGCCCGTAGCGTGCAGGTGTCGCGCTCCCGCCGCCCCCCCTCCCCTCCTCACCCTGAACTCCCCGACCCCCCCAGACCCCCTCGACCCCCCCAACGTGTCGTGTCTTCGTGTCCTATCTTCATGTCGTGTCTTCGTGTCCCATCCTTCTGTTATGTTATGTCTATATCTTTGTTTCGTGCCTTCGTCTTCGTGTTGTCTCGCTGTGTCGTGCCCTCGTGTTGTGTCCTGGTGTCCTGTCCCCCCGTGTCACGTCGTATCTGCTGACACATGTCTGCATTCGGTTTCGTGGATCTTATCCCTTGTTTTTTTCCGTCCGTGTGTGTGTGTGTGTGTGTGCGTGCGCGCGCGTAGATGCGCCTGCGCGCCTTCGCCCGCGCCTGCGCCTGCGCCTGCGCCTGTCCGCTTGTGCGCATGCGCGTGCGCGTGCATGCCCGTGCGTGTGTTCCGGTTCGGCCTTGGGGTCTTCGCCTGGCAGCGTGAAGCATCTTATACCATTTTCATGACTACTTAGGCGTCGTGCGTGGGAGGCGGGAGCATCTTTATGTGAGCGTTTCTTCATCAACTTTTGTTGTCGGAAGGCTGCCATCATTGCCTGCCAAAAGTGCCGTACGCAGGTACGGAGCGGCTATCCTGATGCCACAGGTGCACCGCGGTCTTTTGTTGGTCGCTGCTATTATTGCTATAGTGTTACGAGTGGAGTGGGAGAAGCAGGCGTATAAGTTGTTGTTGATCCATCCCACGATGCACAACCCCAAGTCGCCCTGCAAGCTTCTCAGGTGGCACGAACCGCAGGATGGCCACGATCCATGGTTAGACCTGTGCTTTGGCCGCATCGTGTCGACCCGCGGTCGCTCAGGGGTGAGTGGATCTCCTTTGTTGTTCCAAGATTGCTCTTTGTCCTGGGCCTTTGCAATGGTGTAGTCATGGTGTGCTTTAGCAGCTCCAGGGCACCAAGTATTAGAAAGAATGGGATTGCACGTTCATCGGTGCTGCGTGTGCTGCCATTTGTGGATTACGTAGCCTCGTCCTAGACCCTGCTCACCTAGGACTGACACCCCGCATGCAGCCTTGCAGGTCTTCAAGAGCTACTTCTACCTCTACGTTTGCATGTTCATTCACGGTGCTCTGAATCTGGGACTATGCTGTTTATGTCAGAGCTCAATAAGTTGCGGAAGGGCACTGGCTTTAAGCTTGGTTCATGCAGGCGTGAATTTTCAGAGATGGTGCTTGTGGCTTTTTTTTTTGCCGCATGTGTACCTACAGTTTCTGTTTTGGCCGCGACCCGCGAAATCCCAAATCCAAAGAGGCTTGCACGAATTGGCACACCTGCCCGTTCCGCATGGAAAGAGAGGCGTTCGTCAGGGGACTGGGAACCTGCCCAATGTGCCTCCGTTACAAAATGCAGACCGAGGCTGTGCTATATCCGCAAGGAGCAAGCAGTGATGGACTTGTATGCAGGACAGGCCCTATCCTAGGCCATGACAAGACGCAATGGTTGGCGGTCTTTGCTTGGCTTGGGGTTGGCCAAGGGTTTGAGGTTTGTCTTGGAGGTGCGCGATGTGCATCTTAGTGACTCTCAAACATGATGAGGCAATATGAGGCACATGTCAAGGAGCTCAGCGCTTCCCATGTCGGGGTGCCCCTGAGTCAAAGAGGACAGATGTATCTCTGCGATTTCGGGGCAAACCTGAATGCCTGCACCGCTGATCCCGGGGCCGAAGGCTTGGGTCGAACAGAGCCTCAAAAAAAAAAAAACCCAAGCGTTAGCCGAAAGGTGGCATAAGCCAACGCCCTACAGACGCTAGACTCTAAACTTTAACACGGCCCCAAAGATGCTATTGAGTCGAACCAACCAGGAACTGAGGGCTTATCAACGTTACATCTTTGGCAACACCAGGGCTGTAGGTCTATCTCTCTCATGTCTCTCTCTCTCTCTCCCGCCTCCCTCTCCTCTCTTTGGAGCTCTTCCCGTGTCAGTCTTCATAGTCAGGGCAGATAAGGGTAGATGTCCGAGCCGTTGCAAGGAACCTTCCAGCAACCAGGCCTCGCTGACGAAGACTACATCGTTAAATCAACCACACTGGTGCAGGCTGCACCGGGCCAGCTGGAACGTCGGTCACCGCTCCACGTCTATACAGCTGGAGACCCTCGACAAAAGCACATGGTGCATGCTACTGTTTTCGACGTTGATTTGTGGGATTCGGGGTTTGACAATCGAAGCCGCTCAGCACTTGCGTGAACCAGTCCATACCCTGAGCCTGGGCAGGTTGTTTCAAGGTTGGTCGAGCTTTCCGTGTGTCGCCGACGTGAATCGAAGTTCAGGGTTTTTAGATCACGAGCTCTGCGCCTGCTGTGCAGTATGTCAGTATGAGGATAGTTGCAGTTTGGATGTGCCCAGGGTGGTATTAGCCACTTGTGGCACCCCTTCATGGCCATTGCGGCACAGCACAGGTCATGCCGTTAATTATATCGTTGACATGCCAGACCAGCCTCAGCCCAAGCACCCGCAGCAACCCAAACCGCCAGACCTCAAATCGTTTGCCCTGCGTGTCGCACACACCAGGCGCATGGTCCACACGCAGCTTCATGGCCGCCTCCCTTCAGTTGCTTTTCCCCGACAAGGCGGATGACATCAGGACCAAAGTGGCACTGTCATGCTGCTACCAACTGTCAAATTACACATGTATACGCCCATCCTGCAAGTCTGCAGTCGAGCTGTTGTTGCACTAAGTATGTTACGTCGTCCTGCAAGGAAAAATGTCGATCCTGGCGAGTACGGTGTGGAGAGCCACAACTGCCGGCTGCTGTGCTGCTTGGTGTTCGCGGGGGCCTTACCTGTGGCAGGTTGAAGTTGCGGTCTCATGGTCCAGTCAGTGTGGGATAGAATCGGATAGAACGAATCATGAATGTGCCCGCAGACACCCAACCGAAGCCTTTGCAAGGTCATCAGCATCGGACAGGACAGCCAAGCTGCAGATTGAAGGATCAAAGGCGAAATGTGCACAGCGGCATGTTCAAGAAGCCTGAAAATGCTTTAAAATGCGTCTTGATTGAAGGTTATCTCTGGAAACCCGTCGTCGTACAGTCGATCTCGAACCCGCTCCTTGTTTTTTGTTTTTGTTTCTCTCCGGTGCTGTGCGCAACGATACATTACTTCGGGGCATCTGGGTGTTGTCTGCATGTTTAGTTACCCGACTTCCCCAATCCCTCCACTGCAAGCTTAAACGCCCATGCTCCCCAACAGCACCCCTGCCACATACGGCGAATGGAAGACGGGTCGTGTGCTCTTCGGTTTCCAAGGCAGTCGACCTCCAAACCTCCAAGACTCTAATCCCGAAGCCAAACGACGAGATGGATAGGAATACCCTGGTTTGCAACAGGAGGCGCACAACATTATGCAGATGGCAAGGCTGCTGCGACTTGCCCTTGCATCCAAGCCTCAGGAAACTTTAGACGAACATTAGGATGATGGGTAAATGATGATGTTGCACTGGGCCCGCTAAAATGTGGCCCGTCCCCCAAGAGCTAGCCGGGCGACCTCAACAACATGGCGAAACTGGAAAAGCTCGGTAGGTGTCTTAAAGTGAGTGCAACATGGCCCAGTTCGGAGGTCGTTGACGACAAGTCCTGACAAACTGAGGCTCTAAACCAGAGAGAATAAGCTTTCACAAAGTATGTAGTCCCTGAAATTGTTCATGAAGTGCTGAACACGGGAGGCAGGAATCCGGGATAGACTGTGATGTTAACGAGCGAACTCTTGACTTCCTGACTTCAAGGGCTGTTTGCCACGTGCAATCAAATGCACACTGTGAAAATTTCTGGTTCAGGAGATACGTCCGGCACCAGCCCATGCGTATTCAGGTTCATACCTTGACATCCCTGCCCTGATTTTGGCGCTGTTCGCGAGTCAGTCTGTGATTCTATGCTTCCTTCGGCGCCTGTCTGATGTGCTCCAGCAAGCCTGAGGTATTACGTGCCGAGCACAAGCGAGCCATGGTTTGAGCTTGGCGAGGAGGAGGTCGTGAACGGGAATTGAAGCTAAGAGTTCTTTCGAGGGCAAAATTCGGGGATTGGATCGTTTCTGTGATGAGGATGGTCAGCGGGCGAAGCGCTCCGTAAATGCAAGGCCCTCGCCCGTCTCTTGAGTCACTTGTCGGGGAGAAAGGTCAGTCTTATCTTTTCTTCTGGAATGTTAATGCTGGAGGCCGGTGTGATCGACAAGGCTCTTGCAACACACATATTCAAAATAATCAATCTGTAAGAGGCTCACGCATCATGCGTTGGAGGAATCCAAGCTCTGAAGCCTTTGATTCTACAGGAGGATGAAAGTCAAGAGAGCATGGAGAAGTGGCTTGGGCAGGCAGGGCCTGTGGCTGTTGCGATGGCACTTTGACAAATGTCCTAGTCCTCGGAAGTTCGGTTGCAGGCTTTTCGCAACCCGTTTCAGTGCTCTGCCACCCGAATCCCCACAGTGAGGCCAATTCAAGTTTCAGGCTACGAGACGGAAATCGGATCTTTACGTTTTGATGTTCTGAAAGAGCCCATTTGCCATCCAAATCATCCAAATCATCCGATCCGAACCCAGAAGCTATGGAGCCTGCAGTCACCTGCGATGCGAGAATTCCCAGGTGACCGTCAAAGTGGCTGGCATGTCCAGGTCTGGCGGGGGATTGGGCCAAAGTAATTGCCTTAAGAGTCATAAGTCATCATAAGGTACTGAAATGAATTACCCAGCTAGCTCCAATGTCATGGTGTCAGGATTAATTCGCCACACTTGGGTTTGCGTGGCTAAGTGTTTTGTCTTCGGAGGCTGTGAGGTATCAAGGGTCGGAAACACCTGGCCAGTATTGTGGGACGGCATCAGAAGCTCCGATGGTGCCGTAATATGGCAACCTGCAAGTCGTCCAAATGATGCAGGCCAACCTACCGCAAACAAAGCATGCCATGGGAGGACAAGATAACCAGTCACTACCAACAGAACCAACACCAACAGAGGGGCGCACGGTAAACCATTGCATTTCCGGCGAGTAGAAGGTTTTAGAGCTGGCCTTTTCGAGGCAGTTTTCTGGTGGTGTGCTTCGTGTAGATGTCTCTGTCAGGGTGCTGGAGGCTTCATTTCCTCCTTTCGAAGGGGTACAAAACTCGATGCTGCCTTTTGGGTTGAGGAATTCGGGGTGGACCATCTTTCTGAGAGCATGAGTATGAATCTCTCGTGCCAAATCTCCCCAGCCAGGTTATGGAAAGCAGTGAATGCCACCGGACGTGAATATGGGGTTGTTAGATCTGAAGAGGTGGTGCGTGGGTGGGCGGGTGGGGGGCGTCTCTCACTCTGTTTCTCTGTGTGTGTGTGTGTGTGTGTGTGTGTGTGTGTGTGTGGGCACGCGCGCGCGCGCGCGCGCGCCTGTGTGTGTGTGTGTGTGTGTGTGTCTGTCTCTGTGTCTCTGTGTGTGTGTGTGTGTGTGTCTCTGTGTGTGTCTGTGTGTCTGTGCGTCAGTTTTGTGTTGTGCGGCTAAGTTTTTCGGGTTAGAATCGCCTGGGACTGATTGAATGAGGTGCCTGCAAGCTTGAGGCTGTCAGCAGAAGCCCGGGGAAAAAGGGCAAATTTTATTAATTAAAATCGTGCATCGTTTCACTCTTTACATTTTGATTATAAAATTGTATGCCCTTTAAAGTAGTATTAATACGGGTGTATAAGAGAGAGAAATAGACGCCCTAGCATTAATTTCGTTCTCCTTTCACGCCTTGCTTTTGATTTATTAAACTAGCCCGTTAATATATTATATTGTATGTGCTGCAAAAGACCCACTTAAACCACTGCATTTCGCTGGGTCTTTTAGCGAGCACCAGGACACAGCTTATGATTGAGGATCTCTCTAGTAGAAATCTCTTGTTTACATCGTTCAATCGCTAATTTAATTCACGCACTACGTTCTTTGCATTCACTTCGTTTGTAGTTAAAACGCTCTATCACTTCGTAATATTATTAAATGTGTGAATGAAATGAACACGCCCATTGAAAGTGCAAAAAGTAAGTTAACGCACATTTTTGCGCTTATAATTTGGGCTTTTGTTCATTCACCCGGGCTAACATTACGCAGTAATGTGCTATGAACGAATTACAGCTGAAGCCTAGTTTAGCCGCAAGTCGCGCTGTGGGCTTCGGAAGTTTTTTGGTCGGTTTAGAAACCGGCGGACTCCATCGGCCAAGCGTGAATTCATGGCCCCAACCTCCGGCCAATTTCATGTAGATTACACCCCCCCCCTTTGTTTTCTGCATGAAGCATACAGCCTTTTGCTACGTCGGCGATGTTCTTGGCGGCCATGGTACTAGTACCTCACACAGCTGATGAGCTCAGGTAGTGCTTGTGCTGATCCCAAAGTTCCTTCTTTGGGAGATGACGGCAAGTCGCCTCCTGAGTTTGCAGCGCTGGGTCAGACAGAGCATCCGAGCATCCGCCTCGGGTATCTTGCGATATGTCCACGGCCCCATGGGGGTGGGGAGAAGTTGAACAAAGACCTCAAGTGAGGTTAGCGAATCTACCATAGAGTGCATATCGTCGCTTTTCATGATTTCAAGTTCTCAAGTGGCTTTCGCATCCTCGGACTAAATGGGACGTGAGCTTGCAGCAGTTATTCTATAGGAGCATACCAATGCCGCCTTTTTGACATTTCTGTCTCAGGTACAGGCGTCGACTTCCTGATGGAAACAGCAGGCCCCATTTAGGATGGACAGACTTTCAATTGCTAAGGCTTGCTGTTTGTGGCTAGGCGCGTCAAAAGCACTAGAAACTTGTTCAAGATATGGTGGGCATACGGGCTGGGTCTCTTTGTCGTGTCCTGGGTTGTTCATGCCGAGCCCAAGGCCGGGAGGGGGGGTGGGGCATGCTGTCCAATTCCACATGTTTTTCGGAGGCATCGACGACCTCATTGTCAACTCGGTGGCCTTAGGCTCCCTGCCTTTGGGCCTTCGGACACCTTGTGGATGCAGGGTTTCGGGCCACACTGCCGACCAGGAGCTTTGGCACGAGTGATGTGTTAGATTCCACGAGCTTTGGCAGTCACCGGTGTGAGCAGTTTTGTGTTGCCCGAACATCTGCTACGTGGCAGCGCAGATGTAGCCAGAATTGAAACTTCATAGTGGAAACTCAAGCCGCTCAGGCTTCTTGCTCACGCTGGATGAGATGCTCACGGAAGCCATGATGTCACACCAGGCACTTCTAGATTTTGCCCTGGGTGGACCTGGAGCTACCAGGCAATCAACATAGAATGCTCTCCCCAACCCCAAACTTGAGAAGGCGGCATCATGTACTACTGCATGCCCAGAGGTCCATCACCTCCTGGCCGAGTGCAATGCCCCGAGCTCAGCAGTCCGCTTGCGGTGTGCTTTGAGGGCATTGGGTTCGGGGGCCCATGTAGAAGGGGTGAGCAAAGAGAGTGCAGCGGGAGTTCGGGTGTAGATGTCCAATGAAGAAACATGCGGACGCATGGATGCGCATGGCACCGGATTGCGCTTCCAGCTCCCCAGGCTCTGCCGCTTTACAGTCAAGTGGATGTGGAGTCTCAGTCGGATGAGGAGATTCTGCGAGGGCCTGAGCTCTTAGAGGGGTTTCCAGCTTCCAGCATGAGTGGATGCACATTGGCAGTGCAGGGGGAGGGCGGCGCAGGTGTTCCCTGATGCGTACTGCGGGCTGTGGGTTCGGTTGAGATTTCAGGATTGAAGCTTCAGAGGTAGTGTGCCTTTGCGTACGACGTACGAACTTGTCACCGCACGGTATGGAAGCGATGCCTGCGCTATGGCGGATGCCCAAAATGCTCAAAAAACAGCTCTTGGCAATCTTTCGCGCCACCAGCCAACATTTACGTGGCCCGAACCGACAACAAGTGCACGCGAAGCACGCAGCTTCTGCAGTAATATGTGTGTGTTAATACCAGTAAGTAATATCCATCATATCTGTTCAACCAGCGCGGCTGGGGTTGGTTTTTCCTCGGCGAGTGTCCACCCCCAGCCTGCGGGCTGTGGAATTGGGTAGCCTCACGTTGCCTTGGGCACACCAGGTCACTGAGCGAATGTCACTGTAAGATTGATTGGGCCTCCGACGAGTGTCTCCTTTGTGGTGGGTCTTAGCTCCGAGCAGTCCAGAAAGGACCTAAAGGACCTAAAGAAGTCCTGTAGTCTGAGCCGACGCTAGGTGCGATGCACGTCTTTCTTTCGGCCGATGCCTGCACCCTGGGACCCATCACCTTGAACAAACAGTAATGCTACACTCTAATCCCATATATTCAGTCTACTTCTTAAGGAGCAAGACGTCAATAGTAAAAACACACACACACACACACTCAAAGCCTCCACGTTTCAGGTCGAAGTTGCAGACCCTGCAGCCGAGCCTCGCCGCCCTCCTTTGGCAGCTGCTCCCGCTGTCCTTTGCTGCCCGGCACCAGGGGAAAGCCGGGCACAGGTTACTGCACGTGCAGGTTAAAATAGACTTTGGATGTCGTCGGGACGTGCGTTGAAGGCCCAAAGTACACCACAGTACACCTCCAGCTCGGCCTGCAGGGCGGACAATCCCAAATAAGCAAAAGCAGCTTGAACCCTGCATTTTGTTCCTTCGCATCGATGGTGAGGCCGCATGAATGCAAAAACTGCAGTGCCAACGCGCGCAATTTCAGTTGCGAGAAATGCCTTGCTGGGTGTGTCGCTTCAATGACGAACAGTAGCACAAGTTGAAATGGGTTACCCTTCCAGGTTGGATTTGACGGACTAAGGCTAAGGCTAAGGGATTGTTGCTTATCTTTGAAATGTTTTTTTGTGGTGCAGGGCTCCAAGCTCGCAAGCGCACTCGTGGCAGAAATACAAATATATGTATATATATATATATACATACACAAATAATACTATATGTATATATCTATCTATATATATATATATATTTGTGTCTTATGGTGAGATGGAGAGAGTTTTCTTTCCACACATATACATACCTATATACATACGCATCATTGTGTAAGAATCGCTCAATTTTGCTGATTGTTAAATGTGGTAACCCCCCCGCCCCCCAAAGACCAACCTCCCCAAAAAAAACATAGTACATCTTGTACCCAGTACATGAGGTTTGACACGTTTTCAATGAAGCGGGAGAAGGGGGGTTTCTCCGCATACAAGCGCCCCCCCCCCCCCCCCCCCCTCAAATCCGAGGGGCCGATTTGTGCAAACCCATTGTAGTTAGCAATCAGCTCTTAGATAGATTGGTATTCTTCCTCCCTACACGTCTAGGCAGACTTGTATAAATGTTAGTCACTACATTTTGTTGCTTATTAACTGTATAAGTAGTTTGTTTCGTCAATTAGCTCTTACATAGATTTACCTTTATCCTCACTACACTTCTACTCTACAGGGCAGACTTGCATAAATAAAAACCACTACTTTTCTGTCGCGTGTTCATAGTCTAGGTAGTTTACTGAAGTGCGAGCAGCGTCTTCATAGATCACTCAGCCTCCTCATGGCTAGGGCCGAATTTGTTCAAGCAGAAGAAGTGGAAACAAATCTGCGACGAACGCCTCCGGGCCGCCAAAGTCTCCGCCAGCTCCATGTAAGAACGATCAGGGTTTAGGGTTTAGGGTTTAGGGTTTAGGGTTTAGGGTTTAGGGTTTAGGGTTTAGGGTTTAGATGGGTTTAGGGTTTAGGGTTCAGGGTACTACGCTTGTGTCCAAAATCTCAGGGGCTGTGGACTCATCCGGCCCGAAACCAAAACAAAAGTTCTGAGCACTCTAGTACCGAAACCGAAGAGCCAACAAAATCAAAACAAAATCTGGGAACCAGTCCTCCGGGGTCCCGGACACTGGTAGTGCCCGAATTCTTTTGTTGTTTCTAGGTTTTTTGGGTCCCGAAACCAGAAAGTCAAGAAACAAACCGAAAAAGCAACCCAAAAAGAACCAACGAGCCCAGCAAAAGCCAAAGAAACCAAGGAAAACCAAACATCACTAATCCTCCGGGTCCCGGACAGTAGTTCCCATTGTTTTTTGAGGCAGGGGGAGGGCGGGGGGGGGGGGTGGGGCGGGGGGTTGCGTACGAACCCCAAACAACCCAAAACTCCGGACACTAGTCTTAGTAGTGCCCATTTTTTGGGGTTGCTTTTGCTTTTTGTTGTTTTTGAGTTTTGGCTTTAACTCTGGCAGAACTAGTGTCCGGGGACCTGGAGGACTAGTTTTTTTTGGCTTCGAGAATGAAAGGCCACCAGGGTCTCTGGCAGGTCCGCATAAGTACTTAAAGATGTGTTATGGTTGGGATGTTCCCCCTGAATACTAACAGTCCTTACTAGGGATTGCAATATAGCGGTAATATAATTGTTAGTATAGGGGGGAACATCCCAATATTGTAATATTGTGGTTTTATGGGAGGTTGGTCTTTGGGTGAGGGGCTAAGCCATACAGGTGTATATTTCTATCTTGATGGTCGGCCGCCCTTTTTGATGGCGGCCAGACTTGCGGGTAAGATGCAGGACCAAGCGGATCTGTAGCATCTTCGGATCTGTGAGAGATGTTACATGGGTTTAGGGTTGAGGGTTTAGGGTTTAGGGTGCTTGCTTCTGTTGTGTGAGATTGTGGATCGTGCATCATGGCCCTCGCTTTCGGGTTCAAAAAGGGTGCTCGCCCTAAGCCCAGTGCAAAAGTGGGCACCCGAGCGAGCCCGGACTCAACAATGTGTTTAGGCTTTAGGGATTAGGGATGGTCTCAAACCGACACTTCGGTCGCTTCCTACGACTTCTAGACTGCAGATACATTAAAGTTGTCTTGCAATTCTTAGGGCCGGCAGTCTCCGGCACCCGAATTCCCGACAAAAAAGCTCGGTGCTTCGGTACGTGGAAACAGCTTGCAAGCCCCTTTCGGCCCTCTTTCCAGACACTCCCCGCTGAGATTTTCGCCATCGCGTTGACGGCGTTTTGCGTCATGCGCCCCTCTGATGCGGTCAGTTTCCAGGGTCGGGTTTGGGGTCCATTCCTTCACGCTCTAGCGACGTGAAGGTTGCATCCTTCGTTTGCACTTTGATCCCGAGACTGCATTTCATTTCGCCCACGTGTTTCTGACAAAGAGTTATAGCGCATGGTTGTGCTGAAGCAGCCGGCTAGCATGTACAACATGCAGCGGTTTGTGATGGAGCCGCTGTGGACTCATGAGCGAAACAACGCAGCAAAGCAAAGCAGCGAGGCAAACTCAACTCATTTCCAGGTATCATTTAATTCAGCCCAGCATGCGCCTGCGCAGTTCAGGGCATTTGGGATCTCGGTAGTCAAGCTGCCCGAGAGTGGGCAATGAGAGCCTGTTTTCTGCTAGATGTAGACATGGTCGTTTTAGTCGTTCGGAGCATGGCTGACGTTCAGACGTTCGGATTACTGCCTGCTCGACAGTGTTCTTCAGACCTCAACAAAGACAGTCTTGCTTCTATACCATTCCTGCCAGCTGCATGACAATAGACATGGTAGCAGAGCCGCTTCTCATCTTCAGGGCCGTGGCTCTGTCCGATATTGCATAGACCTGCTGACCTGCTGCCTGCCCTATTTTAAGAGGGAACCTGTTGCGCGATTGGCATGTCACAGGAAATGCCCAGAAGCAGTTTCGAACCTCCTTCAGGCTACTATCTGCTTCACTGCCAGTTTGTCGATGGACGTTGGGTGTCGAAGGCCTTTGTGCGTGTGCTTGCAGTGAGCCTGAAGTTTCGGGCTGACTCTTAGAATGATCACGCTTTCAAGCAAACGGCCGTGACTAATCTAGCCTATATTGCTAGATGCACATCTGCGTGTCTTCTCCACCTATCTTATAGAGCCTGACCCTCAGATTTCCTGAGCTCAGCATGCAGGACATGTACCTGCCGAAGACCTTGACCATGTCCGTAGCACGGGCCCTGATGTCAGTTGAGGTTGCATCTTGCAAAGCTTGGTCCCAAACTCTGCATGTTGGACTGGAGCTCGAGCGCTTGTTTCGGTGTTGATCTCTTGGTCTGCATATTCTGGGAGGTGGGGGCCATACAGCGGTTGAGTTCACGAGGCTGACAGATCTTCGCCAAAGCCGCACCAGACGACCAAACCTCTCATGACATCTGTGAAACATGAGACATAGGATGCGAATAGCCCGACATGTCCGAACAGCGGCCTCCATGTCAAACCATGACAACTCTGTTGCCTTCGCGCCCACAGTTACATGTCAAGGCTGTGGGAGGGGTAAAGGCGGTAAAGGTCCTGAAGTACTCAATTTTAGGAACCAAGCACGTTAGCCAGCGTGGCCTTGCGCGAAGTGGGAAAGGCCAAAACCTCAAGCGTCTTGAGGCGAGTGCCGTCCTCCCCTCCATCTTTCCACTGGACGCAGCGGCGGAGCCTTACTGGTCCATGCCCTGAACGCAAAGCCGTCGGGATCTCGACCAGGCACTTGGTGCCTCAGCGGGCTGCAGAAACGTCGCAGGAGTTCGCGAGGCTTGAATGAAAAGCTGGCCACCTCTACCTGCCTTGGCTATCATCCAACAACTACAGCCCTGAAAGCACGCCCGCAAGATCTAGGGGGTTCCCACCAGCTCATGGCATCGGGTGTCTTGCAGAGCTCGAAGAAGATGAAGTTTCAGATCGTTGGCCCCTCACGAATCCTTCACTCAGCGTCATCGGGCTCAGGATGATTCAGGATTCTTTGTCACAGGGTGTAGTTCGAATTTTGATAGGTGCTTAGCCGCTTAGCTGCTTAGATGCTTGTCTGTTGGAGTGACTGCAAGAGAAGTAGGCTATCGCTGGAGCCGACTATTGCTGGGCTCTTTCGCTGGCAGCCCCTGAACTAGCCTGAGCAACTTTCAACTCACCCAGTAGGTTTTTAGGGCATTGTAGGGCATGAGGAGGGCTGTCAGGTGGAACACCAAGGACCGAAGGAATAGGCCTTGTTGCCTGCAAGGTGAACTTCAGTTAGCTGGGCGGGAAACAATGGCTTCAAAATGGCGTTCGCTTCATGTGAAGCGCGAGGTGTTGACTACCAGATGCGAGTGGTCGGGAAGTTGAGTCCTTCCTTTTAGGTAGCCATGTTGTGCAATTGCGAGCCATGTGGTCAGGTAGGCACATCGCTTCCCATGTTGTTGTGCCTCTTTCCGTAGACTTCTTGTGGCGATTCCATTCTATGCCTGGGATCGCTTGAAATTGGGGCTTCTCGAATCCTCTGGCCTGCTCTAGCGGAAAATTGATGGGTTGGATTGGGCACGGGCACGAAGGAGACGCAGTATACCATCAGGTTGCTTCGGTAAGTGTTGCTCAGCTCTGCCAGAGGCATGATATCAGATGCATTTCTGTATTCCTTCCCTCTCTGTATCTTTGGATGGACTGCAGGGGTTCCAGTTGTTTTGGAGCGTCCTGTTGAGTTCTATGGCGCCTACAGTCCAGGCTAGAAAAGCAATCGTCATACCATAAAAGGCCCACGCTTCGTGAAGCCCTCGGAATGGCCAAAGAAAGCCAGCTATTGTAGCACATGTAGGCTCCACAGCACGGTTGATCACTCGACCAGCGAGTCCTAATCTTGGGATGCTGTTTTTTATGCTTAAATCAAGGAGTACAAGAACGCCACGATGCATGGCAGTGGCTTCGATAGCTTTCATAGCTGTAAAGCATTTGCAAGGCGATAGCTTGGCATGACAGGGCGGGAAGGTGCTTGACTCTCGTTTCCGCAAGCTTGGAGAATTGGGACGAGCCGGCAGTAACCTCAGGACAAGCCACGCCCGAGTCAACCCGGATCGCTACGTGAAACAAGTGGCGCCAAGGGATTGTTCAGAAGTCTGGAAGAATAAAAACTACAAATTGTGTTCGTCCGTTAGACAACGTTGGCGGTTCAGCACTGCTGGCTTCGGCAGACCGGGATGGGTCGTAACATGTCGTACCAGGCCTCAAGGGCGCAGAGTTCAAAGTTGCCAGAGGTTGCCAGAGGAACTCCAGGGCAGGACAGCACCCAGTGCAACGAGGAGGCCGAGGCCATGATCTGTTGCAGAAAGTTGGGCTGACACGGAATTTAGGTAACCGTAGGCCCTAGAAACCGCAAGTTGCATGTCTTTTCAAGTTCTCAGAAGGTCGCTAATCCCAGGCTCCTGTCCGCAACTGCTTTGGCACTGTGTCGTTGTGCTGATGGGATTTGTTCAAGGGAACAACTTGGGCAGAAGGGAACCCCTGCTCTTCTGAAACCAAAACAACACGCCCCAAGCCTTCCTTGACGTATAGAGGGTGTACCCCCATGGCCCCAAAGAGTTCTGTAGCATGCGGGTTATGCCATGCGAACGACATGCAACAACAGGGGTCGCATTGGCATATGTAAGCCGATTCATTCACCACCATTTATTTTGTCCACAGGGAACAGTTATGTCTTCCATGCCTAGCTGTGCCTGATTGCTTGATGCATCGTTGGCTCGTGAGCCCGCCCCAACGGGCCAAAAACAAAAAACTTCCAAACCTGTCGCATGGGCTCCGGCAGCTACAAGGCTCGCCGCTTCACGTGGCTCAAAGCGGTTGACGTATGTTGACGTGTTTGGACTTGGGAATTGGGATGACAAATTGGCGCGGGATTCACAGCTACATGGCCGGGCTTTGAAGACGTGGTCTTGCTAGACTTGCTCCTTCAGGCACAACATGCCGCTTCGTTCCATTCTTCGTTCGGCCTCTGCGGCTTTGGTCGCAAATATGGGGTGGCAGGCGGTCAGAACCATATCTGCATGTGGCGTGGCTCTGCAGAAAGGCTTGTCAGCATGAGGTCTGCACAGATGCGTCGGACACAGATGACAGGCCACGGGCTACGGAACAGTCATACGAGTCATACTCAAAGCCCGCTGCCTTTGTTCCATGCAGCCAGTTTGGCCGCAGGCCCATCATGGGCCACACACGCCCGCCGCCTCAGTGCTAGACCGGGTAGGTCCTCATTGGGTTTAAGAAGATCAGTAGAAGATCATATCTAGGAATATCTTTGTGAGGGCTGCAAGGGCCAACCTAGTAAACTTGTCCCTGTTCAATGGGGAGGTTTGGGTTTGTACATGTGGCACCAGGCCATGATTGGCGCAACCTGCTTTCGTGCAAGCAAGCTACAATGAACATACCAAGTCCAACACAACCTCAGGAAGAAAGTATATAGTCTGATATAGGCATTTGTTTTTGGTAACGTTGTTCGTTTCTGACACGGGGGGGGGGGGGGGGTTCAGGAAGAAATTGTTGGGGGACAATTTCGGGGCCCCGTGGAGTTAGATACATGCCGGCTTAATTTCTGACGCAGTCCTTCTGCATTTCAAATGTCCACAAGGAGGCCTTTTGGGGATTGATTAAGCTTTGAGAGATTATGGCTTTCAGGGATTGGGGCTGAGGGCTTTTACGGTTTCGGGGGGGTTTTAGGGTTTGGGGCATGTGGGCTTTTAGGGTTTGCGCGTTTAGGGACATGCTTGAGTACCTGAGAGAGAGAGAGAGAGAGAGAGAGAGAGAGAGAGAGAGAGAGAGAGAGAGAGGGAGAGAGGGAGAGAGGGAGAGAGGGAGAGAGGGAGAGAGGGAGAGAGAGGGAGAGGGAGAGAAAGAGGGACATGCTGCTTTTTCTGGAATCCCCTTCGTGCTCAGATGAAGAAACAGGACATTAGCGATCTTAGGGATTAGGGCTTTTAGGGGTTTCTTCGGGGTTTATTTCTCTTAGCGAATCAGGCTTTCAGGGATTCAGGCTTTTGGAGATTTGGGCTTAACTTCTGTTTGTGGCCTTAGGGCTTTTAGGCTTTGGGGTTTTTCGGGGTTAGGACTTTTCGGGATTAAGGGATTGATCTTTTAGGGATTACGGCTTTTAGGGATTCAGGCTGATGTCCAACAATTTGGCCTTTTGGGGATTCAGGCTTTTGGATTGGGGCTTTTAGGCATTCGCGAACTTAGGGCGAAACCCCCAGCATTCAAGCTGTGTGCTGAGCTTAAGTAGTCTTCTTGCAGTCAAGACAACCCTTAAGTTCAACAGCTACCTTTCGTCCCTTTCGAACCCGAAGAAGGACTGAGAACTGCTAAGAAGGCTGAAGGAGCTAGAGGAGCACCAAAAGATGGTGCACATGTGACTGATTCTTTCGGGTTTAGGGTTTGAGGTTTACAGGGTTTAGGGTTCTTTTTTGCAACAAGCTCATGTGTTCCCTTGCCGGCACCTTAAAGTACAGACCTCGTCGGGTGGCGGAGCTGAGATGCACAGAGGCTGTTCCGAACCCCCCCCCCCCCCTCATATGCCGAAACGCACCCCGCACGGCTCCGAACAGCGAACTGAAACCCACCCACCCCCGGGACCGAAACGGTGGGCCCGAAACGTACTTTCACAGCACGAACCCCAGACAAGGCAGCGATGGGCCTCGACGTTCCGTCGTATTCGATTTCGCCCCTGCAGCTTGGATTGGGATCTTAGGATGGAGATTTTTCGCAAAGTTCTTGTACAACAGGTGCTCTGATTTTGCAATGGTCTGTCTGAGTTGGTCCTGTCGAGATGGCGTGGTTGCTGCAACTGTGGGGTGCTCCCGATGCCGGTTTGTGCCCAACCTAGAAACACTCTTGGGCACCAGGACCAACGTCAGGAAGATGGTTCGAGCAATGCTCGGAAGGCCCGCCGTGAATGCTCACAGATGAAGCATTTTCAGGGACGGCATCCTTTAGTAGGACGCAGCCAAAGACCGCAACCATCACATGCGTAGCCACAGGTGGGCGGATCGTCTCCTGGACCCATCATCGGGTGCGTCCGAAGCCCTGGGGCATCGTCTGCATCGCTATCACTGCAGCAATCCAGCTTGTGGCAGAAAAGAAAAGGAAACAGCACCCCGTGAAGACGAGGTGCAGCAAGAGTTCTTTGAAGCTCACGAAACTGTGACAGTGTCACGCGTCCTGCAGCCCTATAATCCAGCAGGATGGATCCATTGATGGCTGCTTTGCTATATATGCGGCAGTGAAAACGAGTGGCTAGTCGGAGCCCTTTTGTCGGCTCTTTGCGAGCTTTGAATATGGTCGCGGTCGGAGATTCATGCCATCCCACGGATCAAGAGTGAGCAACTCAGTCAACTTGATTGAGACCAAGGGTATCAAATCCGTGAGGGGAATCACAAGATGCAGTGACCACAGATGCCGGACTTTCCAGTTCCTGGATAACAGTTCCTCCTGTAACTAGTGGTGTGTGTTGGACAAGCAATCGCGCCGTCGTGCAGCAAACGATGTCGCATCCATTAATGTTGCCCTCTCGCAAGCTGTTCATCAAGGATATGTGGCGACGGCTTATCGCTTGGACAAACACGGATTTTCATCGGACGCCTCCAGACGGTGGTAGCGTCTTATTTGTTCTGTGCTGATGTTTGATCCGAGCAGGGCCAATCCCAAACCTGGTCACGACCGGCTAAACA